CTTTGGTGAGCTTGGCATTTTCTGCCTCGATAGGCCTCATGTTCCTCATCTTGGCCTGTGCTCTGCCACAGTACAAGTAAGATATCTTCTGGTGTTGTTTGTTATGTTGAGTATGCCTGTTTATAAGGTATTGTTTGCTGAAAAAAAAGGTTGATGGGATTGTCAAGTAGAGGAATTATATGTAAATTTTATGTACATTTTTTTGTTTGTTTTTGTTATCCCATACTAAGAAAGAAAGGAAAAATATGATTTCTTGTATAGTATGTTGAGTGCATTGCAAAGTAAGTTGTGTTAATTCATTAAGAATTAAACATTAAGAAATATTGATATATTCTTAGTTATTTATCTTTTATTCATTTATTTTATCCATTTATGATTTCATCAATTCATTATTTTCCCCAGTAACTGGTGGCCATTCTTTGTGCTGGTGTTCTATGTCCTTGCTCCCATCCCAACAATTATGGCTCGGAGAATGTCGGAGGACTCTGGTGGCAGCAATCCGTGTAAAGAACTGGCATATTTCATAACGGCAGGCTTGGTAGTGTCTGCCTTTGGTCTTCCGATTGTGCTAGCCAGAGCACCAGTTGCACAGCCAGTGGTAAGGGAGTCAAGATTTCCCTTTCTTTTCCCCGTCCATTCTGCTTTTCTGTAGATTTTTTTTTGTTCATCTTCATTTCATGCCTTCTGTTCATGCCTTTCACCCATATTTATTTATTTATCTACTTCTTCCACAAAAGGCTTTCCTCTATCAGTGTTAGTTCTTGCATTGTTTCTTCCTTTGCCTTTTCAATTTCCTTCAATTCTTATTTTCTCTTATTTTCTTGCTCTGCTGGACAGTGTTTATTGCGACAAACATTAAAAATATTTTTGACGATATAGTCAAAACCAGTGAAATACATCTTTTGCTTTGTGAAAATATTCATTCTCATTCATATGTATCTTTTTGTTCTGGCTTGTTGAATTTTTCCCTTTTATTTTTTTACCTTTTATTTTTTCCCCATTTATTGTATATGAAACTGAAAATTATTCTTGATATGAAATAAATGCATTTTCTGACATATTGCTCAGGATAGTTCCCATACCATAGCATTCTGTTTTTGGCTTTCTCACAATTTGTCTTGGTGCATTTTTTTTATTATATCTTGTCAATATTTTACAAGATATGTAAGATATAAGATATAGGCACCATTCTAACTGCAGTGATGTCTACTTTTTTCCAGATCCATTGGGGTGCTTGTGCTCTGGTTCTCTCAGGGAACATCGTCACTTTCCTGACCATCTGGGGCTTCTTCGTGATGGCTGACAGTGACGATGTGGAGTACAGCATGTGGTGAGGTGCGAGTGTGAGCAGAATGAGTGGGCGAAGAAGGTGCCATGGACAGAGGTCGTTTGTTGCTCTCTCCCATTTTCCCAAGGGACGGAACTCCGCTTGTAATCTCACTGGGACCTCAGTTCATAATGGCTGTAGAAAATTTGCGGTTTATATCTACCATTAGTTGATTAGGGCTCCAAGGGAAGTTGTCGTATCAAAAGAATATTTATTGTGGGTCACAAGTACTTGCAGTCTGTCTGTCTGTCTGTCTGTCAGTTTTATGATCTTTTGAGATGACTTAATATGGATGCAATATGCTAGGGTTAAGCATTGGTTTAAGTTGATTTATGTGATCAGTCTGTCATATATCAAATTTTAAAGAATTATGCTTGTCAGTGTAGTTTTTCCTCTTGGATAATTATGTTGTGGGCTAACAGCTAACAGTCTTTCTCTGCTTATTCTCATTCTTGTACACAGTGACAATCATGTGAGCATTATTGTTATTAGGAGGAGTTGTGGTAATGTCATCTTTATTTGTCACTTATTTATTTGATTTTATAATTTGGTTTCATCTTCATTTTTCTGTTCATGCCTTTCATCCATATTTATTTATTTATCTACTTCTTCCACAAAAGGCTTTCCTGTATCAGTGTTAGTTCTTGCATTGTTTCTTCCTTTGCCTTTTCAATTTCCTTCAATTCTTATTTTCTCTTATTTTCTTGCTCTGCTGGACAGTGTTTATTGCGACAAACATTAAAAATATTTTTGACGATATAGTCAAAACCAGTGAAATACATCTTTTGCTTTGTGAAGATATTCATTCTCATTCATATGTATCTTTTTGTTCTGGCTTGTTGAATTTTTCCCTTTTATTTTTTTACCTTTTATTTTTTCCCCATTTATTGTATATGAAACTGAAAATTATTCTTGATATGAAATAAATGCATTTTCTGACATATTGCTCAGGATAGTTCCCATACCATAGCATTCTGTTTTTGGCTGTCTTTCTCACAATTTGTCTTGGTGCATTTTTTTTATTATATCTTGTCAATATTTTACAAGATATGTAAGATATAAGATATAGGCACCATTCTAACTGCAGTGATGTCTACTTTTTTCCAGATCCATTGGGGTGCTTGTGCTCTGGTTCTCTCAGGGAACATCGTCACTTTCCTGACCATCTGGGGC